TTGCATTATGGAGCTTTGAAGTAATGAAGATCTACATGTTCAGGCTTTAAAAATTGCTGAAAACAGGTGTACCTGGTCAAGAACATGGACAGATAATGTTGAAAAGTATCTTTGAGGAAGAGCTGAATGGAGAGAAGAAATAAGAAGAACAAGCAAGACAGTGAAAGAAGGTTATGAAAAAGATTCTAAAGATTAAAGTATGAGTTACCTCCAGCAGGGTACACACTGAAATGAGACCTCAACAGAGGACTTCAGGCAAGGAAGACAAAACACAGCAGGAAGAACAGACATATTCAAAAGGCTCTTAAGAGAGAAATCAGAACAAATCTTAGTCACTAGTCAGAGAAAATTATGAGAGGCCTATGGAAACAGTGTGAGAGATAGTCAACCTGAGGCTACATAACCTTCTGTCAATTTATAAAGCATATTAATGTACTGGTGACAAGGCTGAACTATCCATTTCAACTATTATTTCTGTAGTACTTTTGTGAAAAGACAAATCCAAAATAGTTAAATCCATTTAAACATTCACCATTCACTTAAAGAGAATGAAGATCATGAGGTAAAAGGCAGTGCTAATCTACGGTAGATCAGTAATCTGTCTCTAGACTTCTAAAGTTCCTTTCTAACGGTGCCACTCTTAAGTAAATAAGTGAAAGTCAATCGTGTTCGACTCTTTGAGACCCCATGGACTAAGACAGTCCATGGAATTCTCTAGGCCAGAATACTGGAGTGAGTAGCCTTTCCCTTCTCCAGGGTATCTTCCCAATCCAGGGATCAAACACAGGTCTCCCGCACTGCAGGCAGATTTTTACCAGCTAAGCCACAAGGGAAGCCCAAGAATACTGGGGTGCATAGCCGATCCCTTCTCCAGCAGATCTTCCCGACCCAGGAATCAAACTGGGGTCTCCTGCATTGCAGGCGGATTCTTTACCAACTGAGCTATCAAGGTAGCCATGTTCCAAAGTTCCACTCTTGAACCCATCCTATTTCATCTGCCAACCCTCCACCCCAGAACTACATCTGGACACTAGCTATGCCATGTAGTGAGTTGTACTATGCTTTAAAAAAATAAACTCAAAGAAACCTGTTGTTGTTTAGTCACTTGCGAAGTCGTGTCTGACTCTGTTGCGACCCTATGGACTGCAGCACTGCAGGCTCCTCTGTCCATGGGATTTCCCAGGCAAGAATACTAGAGTGGGTTGCCATTTCCTTCTCCAGGGAATCTTCCCCACCCAGGGATCAAACTGACGTCTCCTGCACTGGCAGGTGGAATCTTTACCACTGAACCACCAGGGAAGCCCAAAGAAAGCATTATACGAAGCTAATCAGTCTCAGGAGGAGGCATGAACATTCTTTCCTAAAACAATAATAAATGTTAATGGCAATCCAAGAAAGATGAAGTTTCACACAGGGTATTCATCTAATTGGGTAATAAAAGTTCAAAGTCCATTTTCTTAATTACTAATCTACACCACCAATAAATAATACCAACTCAAATGGTTGAGTGCTACTCACAATAATACCTGATCAGGATCTCCAATGTGCATGTACTAAAAAAAAGATTGTGAGCTAAAGGTAAATATGAATCATCAGTTAAGAGAGAGATCTAAAAATATAACATTGAGATGCAGGACAGTATAATAATAAGAAATCACAAGATGTGACTCTCATATTCTCTCACCCCTATGAAACAATTTCCAAGGCTAGCTTAAGTAAAACAGATATGCTGATATTAAGTTCTAGAAAAATTAGAACCATTCTCCTCCTTGGTTTTTCTCCTATTACTTTATGACCTAACTGCTCCCTGACAAGGTCACATTCTTTTGCTCATAAAATAAGTTTTCCTTAAGAAGTCATTCCTAGTCTTTCTTTCCTCCTTTTCATTCTACAAATATTACCAAGCTAGTTCTTCCATTCTCATGGCTCTCAGCACCTCCTATTTCCTTTCTTAGATGCATATTTCATATTTTCCACAACTAATTAGATTTATTTATCTGGAATTATCACTAATGTCTCAAATTTAATATATCCAAAATGGAACCTCCCCTAAAAATACCTCTGGCCTTACTTCTTGTTTGTTTAGTTTTCTTTGATAGATAGAATATGATGCCATTAAGTTGCCCAAACTAGGAAGCCCAAATTGACCTTAACTCTGCTCTTTCCTTGTCTCCCCGAGAGCCACCTGATTTTACCAAAACAGTATCTCTGAACTCCCTCCTTTGCTGCCCTGATCTCCATTTTTACCATTTTTACCAGTAATTCAGGCTCTAAGTCACTCTCCTAGATAATCACCATGCTTCCAATATTCCCCCATCCAGGCATTCCTGATCTGTTTTTCAGGTGGCCCCAAGGATAATTATGCTAAAGTGGACCTGATCACTTCTCAAGAAATATTCAACAAAATCACCCTGAGCCCACACGCTTGCATAGTACACAGGACTTTTCCAGCCCGAGTCTGGCCCACCTGCCAAGCTTCATCTCTACCTGCTCCCCCTGAGAGACTATACGTACCCCAGTAAGGGCCAGTCACAAGTCACTTCTACACTTTCACTTAAAAGCCCTTCCGTTTCCAAGCAAAGCTGCTTTCTTTTGTGTGGTTCTACAAGACTTCAGATGAGCCTTCAGATGATCGTGTTAATGTCCATCATCTTGGTAAAGAGCTAGTAAAACATAGTGGTTAAGTTTGTGCTTCTAGAGCAAAAATGCCTGGGTTCATATACCACTAGAGTGGTCAAACTGTTTATCTAAAAAATAGAAATAACAACAACTTTACATAAATAGCACAGGAAACTCTACTCAGTATTCTGTAATAACTTATATGGGGAAAGAATCTGAAAAAGAATAAATTTACATATACATGCAACTGAATCACTTTATACCTGAAACACAAGGCTGTTAATCAACTATATTCCAATATAAAATATAATTTTTTAAAATATAAATGTAAACAGTAAATAACCCCACCAAAAAAAAAAAAAAATCAAGAAAAGGATAGAAAACAAACTTAAATCAGACTCCAAATACTGAATAACATTTAACTTAAATTTTTTCTTTTACTTAAAGAAGGGGAGGGAGCAATTTTAGTTACAGTTAAATTGACTTCTACCCTAACCGCATTTTCATCAAATGTCCACATTCAAAACTGACTAAACCTCGAGTATAGGAGATAGTATGAGTTCAGGTTAATAGCACTGGCCTTAGGTTCAGATGTAAGTCCAAATACAGCCTTTACTTGAATCCACAAGTTCTGCCACTTAACTAGCCATATAACTTTTGCAACCTTGGTTTTCTCATCCCCAAAATAAGGATAATGAGAATTAAATAAGGTAAGGTATGTAGAAAGCACTTAGCATACTGTATGACCCTGAACAAACATTCAGTGAGTTTCATGTTATTACAATGTTCCTTAAATCCTAATTTTCATAAATTATGGTACATGCATAGAATGAAATTCTATTTTAACCATTTAAACTGTGAGGCAGTTCTACACGTATTGATGTGGAATGACTGCCAAGATATAGTATCAATATATGGGGAAAAAAAGGCCAGAAAAGTATGTATAGTACATTACCACTCCTATTTTTCTTTACCACAGATATTTATAAATATATATGTGTATATATATGTACACACACACACACAGATATATATATACACACAGAGAATGTCTCCGGAAGAATACATAAGAAACAAGTATCAATAGTTGCTTCTGGGAAGAAAAACTAAGCTGCTGTGGGACAGGGGTGGAAGAAAGTCAACATTTTACCTAATTCCTTTTTGTACCTTTTGAATTTTGTATTGCTTACTTCTAGTGTCTACTCCGCAAAAAAAAAAAAATTTCTAAGTTTATATTATGATCGAAAAAACCTCATGCTACCAAAATATCCCATTATACAGTAAGTGTGCTAAGCCACTTCAGTCTTGTTCTACTCTGGGTCACCCTATGGCTTGTAGTTCGCCAGGTTGCTCTGCCCATAGGATTCTACAGGCAAGAATACTGGAGTGGGTTGCCATCTCCTTCTCCAATACAGAAAGTGGATTATGCTAAACTTTACAATAATACCTAAAGGGACTTAATCACAGTTCCAGTACTAATTTCAATTCTATTGTTGATAATAATCAAAGACTGATAGAGTTTTAGGTAAATTAGCCAATGAGAAACAATTTATTGAAATCTATGGCAGGAGTGGCCTGGAGATTTTTTTTTTTTTTTGTAAGTTATGTGGATGAGGGAGCAATAAGTATATCATCACTCAAAAAAAAAATATATATATATATATATTAGGCGCCAAACATTGTGCTAAGTGCTGAGGAAACTGACATCTGGTCCTTGCCTTTGAGTAACCTGCAATTTAGTGGAAGTATATGAACAGAGCAGGAAAATTAGCACTCCTGTGGTGGGCTTGCTTACTTAAAATACAGGTTCATTCATTCACGAACACGTAACAATTCGAATGAATGAATGGTGCAAGCCAGGTGACAAAATACACTTCGCTGAAGCCTCTAGCAACTTTAAAAGTACACGAGAACTCGATCCCTCAATCTGAGAATGCTTGTACACTTGCATTCCCGGTAATCCAGAGAGCTCTCGGAGCCTGCAGGTGTCAGAGGCTTGGCTTTTCATTACAGTCCCGGGATACCAGCCTGGAGACCTTGGGACTGCGACTGCGCAGGTTGGAAGAGTTCCCAGACCTCAAGCCCCCCACTCGAATCCCTTCAAGCCAGGTACTCCCACACCTGGGCTTACAAAGTCTCAACTCTAACAGCCAGGGTCCAGAGGACAACAAACCCTCAAATGAAAAGTCATTCTGGGCCACCTCCCTCAGTGCTTAGGGCTCTTCCTGGAGCAGGCAATAATAGGAGAGCACCTCTCGAGGAAACCTCTCGAAAACTGTGAACCAAAGCGGCAGTATATGGAGCTCGAGGAGGGTTGACTGCCCCGAGGCTTCCTGGGTCATAAGCAGTGGGCCCGGCTTACTCCAGACACAGTCACTAACCTTTACAAAGAGGGTTTCCAGGGGCGATGGCCGAAGGGGTGAGAGCAGCGGCCCAAGCCCTGCACCCAACACATCTCCCTCTCAGCCGGCTCTGCGTTAAGCGCAGGGTAACCAAGGGCGACCATGAAGCCGCCATCTTGAGCTCCGTACCAGGGCAGGAAGAGGAAAACTTTATTGAAACCCAGAAGAGAGACGGTGGCACAGACAAACGTAGCCGGGTTCACGGAAGGCTCCGCCCGAGAGAATGAGCAGCGGAAGAACTCGACCTCTAGTAGCGAGGGGGCGGGCTGGCCTCCGATGCCCTTTGGATCCTTCCTGACACAGCAAATCTGGACTACGACTCCCAGCATGCAGTGCGGCGGCACGGAGGGCGGGGCGGGCAGCTCAAGCCTGGTGAGAGGGACAATTGTCCACCCAGAGGCTGCGGCAGAGGATTCCAAAACACTTTCAAGGAATTAGAACGTGATTACAGCTTGTATTCAAACAGCCATCCCCGAGCCTTTTAGGTTAGAGAGCCTGACCGAGATTCCAAAACCTAAAGTGCAGGGGATCCACTGGCTCATATTTTAACGAAATATTGCTGTTACCTTCCATAAATGGTAGCCCCAATTTATTTGCCTCCAGCATCCAGCTCATCTTCAGCAGAGTATCTGAAATGTGCTCCTACCACTTTTGCTTTCTGTATTTTAATACCATAAATTATTTTTGATGTGGCGTACACTCAAATGTTTTTAAAGAACATGGGGCAATGTATGTAACATGGGAAAGCCAATGGCCCAAAATGAATGAGTGGATAGAGTGGCTGTGGGACAGTGCACCTAAAGAAGAATTTCTAAGTGATTAATTTTTGATTAATTTGATTTTCAAAATCAAAACTGTTTTGAGTCACTATGCTAAATACATTGGGAATACAAACTGCTGACCTGAAGAGTCAGTCAATCGGATAGGAGGAATAAAGACAAAACAAAAGGTTTAACCATGTGTTGTGGAATCAATGAAAGAACACTTTGGCTGGGAAATCAAGAAGGCCTTCTAGAAGCTTTACTTTCAACACAAAATGAAGACCTTCCAAGAACAAGGAATAGAGTGAGTTAAGGCAGGAAAGAAAATACGGATTACAGGAAGGAGAAAGCCAGGTTTCAAACTACACTAGAAAGAGTTCCAGAAAGTTAGGTTTTTGGTCTACAATAGACCTCCTCACCCATCACAGCCTTGTGGTGGTGAAGGGACTTGACTAACTCAATGCAGCCATGAGCCAGGCCCTGCAGGGCCACCCAAGAGGGACCAGTCATAGTGAAGAGTTCTGACAAAATCTTCTACAATAGAAGATTCCAAAGAAACAGGAAAGAGAGCATGTAGCATGGTATAATATTTTGGAGACTTCTCTACTGACTGTCAAATCATTTATGGAAAAATTACTTTGATTGTCTTCCAAAATATGTTGTCAAATTATTTTTTTCTATCTTTTAATTACATCTGAAAGGACAAACTATTCTTGCATGTTTGTTTCATTTAATATCACTAATTTTGGTGTGACACTTTATGAAAGACCTTTTGAAAAAAATTGGACTATTTCTTCCTTGACTTACACATTTATCACACTCAAGACTTTCAGAGAGTGTCTGAGTATCATTTTGTTTGCTCTTGGAAAACTACTGCTTGTCTTGGACAATGAAATTACCTCTTATTAAAGATTCCAAGTTTAATAATTATGGAAGTGAAATAAGAACTCACATATAGTTTAATGCCAAACTTCTAGGAAAACTTACAGGAAATTTCCACATGAGTATACAAGTGGACAGAAACATGGCAAATGAACTTTATTGTGTACAAATACAAGGTAACTTAGAAATAAATTTCATTTTTTTGTATTCAAGAGAATTTATTATGATAATTAAGTAGCCTTTGTTAACTATTTTATTAAAACATCAATCCCAGGGACTTCCCTGGTGTTCCAGTGGCTAAGACTCCACACTCCCAATACAAGGGGCCTAGGTTCCATCCCTGGTCAGGGAACTAGATCCCACATACTGCAACTAAGACCTGGCTCAGTCACATAAATCAATATTTTTAAAAAATAAACAAAAACCCAAAAATATGACCTATCTGCCTACATTCCATCACAGATTCTAAACTTTGTAATGCCTCCCTATGGAAGTAGATACAATTTATTATGTATCTTTAAAAAAATCAAGATCTGGTTCCTACCTACCTTACTGTCTTCTCATATTGAATGAATGAAGCCCTGTGATTTAAGTATCTCATTTGTTTTCATGAGTCTCCATATATATTATTTTCAAAAAAACTGGAAAACTGATCTCATCTTCCTACTCCTATCCCCAACTTTATTTCCTAAGTGTGTTCTGATACTTTTTAATTAGAAAAAAAAAAAACTACTGGGATTAGCAGATACAAACTACTATATATACATTATATAAACAAGTCCTACTGTGTAGCACAGAGAACTATATTCAATATCCTGTAATAAGCCATATGGAAAAGAATATATATGTATATGTGTGTAACTGAATTATTTTGCTGTACACCAAAAACTAACATATTTGTTCAATCATACTTCAATTTTAAAAAAAGAATCATGAAAATTAGTAATTGAATATTTCCAGGGCAACTCCAAGAATGTTCCAGGTTTAATACTGCATATGTATTTAGTATTTATCATTACAAAAACAAAAAAATGCCATGTATATGGATATCCAGACTTATGAGAAAAATTCTTTTTAAATCTTGTGTGTGTGTTACTCGCTCAGTCGTGTCCAACTCTTTGCAACCCCATGGATTATATGTGAATATATATATGAATTCTCCAGGCAAGAGTACTGGAATGGGTTGCCATTTCCTCCTCCAGGGATCTTCCTGACTCAGGAATCAAACCTGGGTCTTCTGCATTGCAGGCAGATTCTTTACCACCTGAGTCACCAGGGAAGCCAGGTAACTTCTAAATCTTAAAGGTATCTTAAAGATCTGATTTTAACCCAGCAATTTTACATATTCCAAAAATGGACATGAGTTTGAGTAAGCTCTGGGAGTTGGTGATGGACAGGGAAGCCTGGCGTGCTGCAGTCCATGGGGTCGCAAAGAGTCGGACACTATTGAGCGACTGAAATGAACTGAACTGAATTTTACATATTGAGACTCAATGATCCTAAGAGAATAATTTACCCAAGATAACACAGACACCGCTCCTTCTTGAAATTAACTGAACAGTAAAAGAGACTGAAAACTTATTTATTTAATTAGTTCTTCAAATGGTCTTTAAATGAGACCTATATATAGCAAAAAGTATACTGAGCTATAAGAATTTTGATTGTCACATAGTGATGGTAATAATCAATCTAGTTTTGTCGTCTGGTTAGTTAAATTTGATGCAATGCATATCCAGACAATCAAATAGACTCAATGTTTTTCAGTTCTATAGATATAGATTGTTTTTTCAGAGGAACTAAAATTAAATTGCAGCTATTCATCAAGACTCAAAGATGCAATCATAAAGCTATATGAACTCATTTGTTTATAAGTGTTAGTTCTTACACCAGGTGACTGCACTCAAAATTAGCCATGATTTGGCCTAGACTTCAAAGGAATCAGCTGGTGTTTTATTTTCAAATGGACATCTTGGGACGATTACTTGGATAAATAATTACCCAACTTTACTGATAATAGAGAATTTCTCAAGCTAGACTCTAGATGATAAAACTTGAATACCTTTTGGTCATGGGACATATCTAACTCAGGAAGGGTGTCTTCTGCCAAAACCAAGACTAGAGAAAACTAAGGCACCAGATGAGGAAAGGATCATGAGACTGCTAATGTCTATACACACCAATTATAAGGGCCCAATTTTCCCAGCATGTATCTCACTTAGGCCAAGTAATTCTCATCAACTTCAAAGGGAGTGATGTGCATCCACAGATCTGAGTTTGCCATATCCAGGGCTTACTCAGCAGGAATACATACTATAATTCATGATACCAGGCTTCATTCTTTAGTCCAAATCAACCCAGCTGGATTTTGAAGCTTTTGTTCTTGGAAATAATCAACTGTCCCTTAAAATATCAAATCCACTTGGCTTTATTTCACATATCAATCCTGTTGATTACTCAAGACAAGCCATAGTTTGAGTTTATAGATTGATATGTAAGACATGTATTTTAGAGTTGCATGCTATACTACTATGTAGTTTTATAGTATTAAATTACTAGAATTTACCCTGGAAATGATTTTATTGCATAGCAAAGAGAGAAACAAGAGATATGCGTTTGCTGTTCCACAATTTTTTTAAAATATAATTCTGTTTATAGGTACTGTTTTTCAGCTTTAATTTGATACTTTAATGCCAGGTAAATTATCCTTTTATTTAATTACTTTTATATAATAGCGACCTTGAAAGTCTGAAAAATGATTAAAGGGCATTTTCTAAGAAACAGATTTCTGGACTTAAATTATACAATTTTTCTGCTTATAGTTTTGATGTTATCTAAGTTATTATATTATTACTATTATCAAATAGTTATAAAATGGCAAGTATAGAGTTTGACATTTACAAATATCTGAGATGTTAGGTCTAAAATGTTTTTAATCACAGATTTTGAAAATTAATACAAGTATACTCTCATTGTCTTTTTTATTGTTGTTTAGCACTTATTAGTTTTGACTCACTCTAGCATGTTATACACATAGCACCTGTGCCCATTTAGCAAAGAATTTCAGTACAAATCACTCTGAATTGAATAGACATCTCTAAGAAGCATTACAATTGTTGCAATATTTTTAGAAACTGAAACAAGGAAATAAACAACTTCAGTAAAAGTGATTTAAATAACAAATAACGTATCTTTATAAACAGCTTATCTCCTTGAGAACAAAGAATAAACAAGGAGACAAGGTTTTTTTTTTCCTTCCACTATTAAAGCAGATCACAATATGAATGGGTGAAATGTCATGAATAATTGGAGAAAATCACAGAGTAATCTTCGACAAAAACATCTGATTTATTTAAATTGTCGTTGTTTGTCTTATTAGAACCTTTATTTAACCTTGTTATCCACAAGGCAGTATTCAAGCTGGTTTTTCAAAAATATACTCTGGAACTAATGATATTTTGAAATTTTTGACTTTCGCATATGCAGGCTATGGTAATGTAAATCTCCCATGGCAGATGTTTTACTTGGGACCTAATTAACTGACATTACCTTAGACAGAAATGCCTATGAAAACCTAATGTTTTGAATCTAAAATGACAGTAAATAAATCAAGGCTTTGAAACATTCTGCCAGTAGATTTAAGCTTAGCTTTCTGGTCAAGAATATCAAGCTTTTGAGTACTTGATTCATATAGTTACAACATTGATT